CGGTAGTTTAAATTTAAACTCTCTCTCTCTCTTTTTTTAGAAAAAGGAAACTGCTGTTCCTTTATGGGAAATGGACGGATAGGATGAAAGTGTGCGATCCTGTGTTGTACGAGGAAGCGCTGGAGAAGGTGAAACGCGAGGCAAAGAGTCCTCAGGGTAGCCCCGGCCACAAGAAGGTCCTCGCGAAGTTGCACAGTCTGAAAGTTGGAGCTTTCAAACCATCTCATCAGGTATTTGAGACGTTCATTATCTCTCGGAGCTATGTTGCAAAAATTTAAGCTGTTCAATATTATTTCGTATTTCTTTCTGATTGTGAGCAATGGGAATTAAAATCGAACCAAAGATCCCAAACTCTTTGATCGTTTAACTAAATAAGAAATTTAATAAAATAAGATCGCATGCGCATTGAAGATTAAATTAAGTAATTAATTTCCTGATTTAAACAAAGGCAGAATAAGATAAATGTCGAATGTACGAGTAGATTTTTGAAAATACACGAATGAAACGATTCCTTCTGCTCTTTGGGAATTTTCGACAATTACAATCGTAGGATAAAAGTGCTCGTACTTTTGCAGTTACAATTTCACTGGTTATATCATATTACAGATCCCCGGTGAAAATTCTGCTTTTTCATTCATCGTCTTATCCTCTCGACTTTCAAGTGATCGTTCTAAAAGCCAGTTATATATAGAAGTTCATGTGTTACCCCTATTTTACACGTGTCTTTATTCATTAAAGCTTTGAATATTCAACGACTTCAACAAGTTCTTCTCTTTCTTCGTGGAAAAATATCTCGCCGTGAAAAAGAAGGACCAGCGAATGTTTTACATTGTTTGTGAATGGTGGTTGCGTCGTGTCGTTCTTTAAAAAGAGACAGATGATAATTAAAAACTTAACACAATATACGTGTAAATAATGTTTCTGAAATTCTTAAAATTTCAAAAATACTTTACATTAGAATATTGTCTTATGTCAAGTAGTTACAAAACAGAATTTCGAACGATTGTTTAAGGACGCAATTGACGATCCATCAGCAAGCATAGACGCAGACGACACTCCAACAGTCGATGACATTCCTGGATCGATTACTCTCTGGGAAGCTTCACCAAGGCCAACTAACAGCGCAGAAGTAAATCAAACATTTCTCTATTCTTTCCACTGAATCGTCAATCTTCTTTTTCTTTTCTCAATTTTTATATTTTCATCCTTGACAAGTTTGGATCTATGAAAAACCCAACGCACGCAATATTCCAAGCTAAAGTGTGCTCGTCATAATATTTAAAATCTCCTGATTTCTCTTTAACTAATATCTGTAACAGCAAATTTGAATGTATTTGAAAAAAAAAAAAAAAAAAAAATTCAAAAGCGCCGAAGTCGTAACGGACGAAGAGAATTGAATTACTTCCGGTTAATATCAGTGAGTTCTATTCGCTGAACTTAATCGTCCGAGTGAAACGATCTTCCTCGATCTGCATCGGCGTGGTGTTTCAACATTTTGCCGGATCGATTTTCCAGTATTACCAGTTCACGACGTTCGCCATGTCGTTAAACGAACTGACACCGGAAATGGAAAAAGTTCTATGCCCGACGGACTCGAGACTGAGGCCGGATATTAAGAAATTGGAGAACGGCGATCAAGATGGCGCCGCGGCTGAAAAGACGAGGCTCGAAGAGAAGCAAAGAGAGACGCGCAAAGCGCGAAAGCACAAGAAGGGAGAAGAATGGACGCCCAGGTAACAAGCATGATTAAAAAACACGCGATTATATAAATTACACGAGAGCGAAACGAAATTCTCTGTGTGTGAAATTCTTCCCTCTTGTCTTCCAAATAATCTAGCAAAATACAGGTATTTAATTGTTCTTTTCATTTTTTTTTTTCTTTAAATTTTTCTTCCACTCTTCGAACTTTTGAAATTGAATCTAAATATTAGATAATATATAACAATAAATATAATAACAGCAGTACAATATACAGCAGTGCTAATAGTAAATGAGTTCTTCGATTAATCTATCTTTCGTTGAGTAATTCATTAGAATGGAAATTTTGAAAACTCGTCGAACTCGATAATTATTAGATCATATTTGTTCTCGAATATCTTGATGTCCAATTGTTGCGTTATTATGATAAAATATCTACTAGTAAGTGAATTAAAGAATACAGTATTCGAGAAATAATAATTCAAAGTAAAGTAGGTTCTACTGTAATTTCAATGTAATAGATATTCGTAATAGAAACATTGATCATCCGACAAATTCTCTGTGCCACAGGTGGTTCCAATTAGGTATGAATCCGTACACGAACCAAATGGACTGGTTATACCACGGTGGCTACTGGGATCGTAATTATGGCAACATGGAAGATATCTTTTAATAAATGTGAAAACTGATCATTCGAGAGGGATAATCGATTACGTGGCAAAAGATGAGGGAATTCACTCGCATGTCCTGAATAATCAAAGTGATTGCTCTTCGATTCGAAATTTTGCGTCGTTGGTCGATTTGCTACGTTCAATCAATGCAAAGAAAGGAAGCCTCGTCGCTTGTGTCGACGTTGATTTGCGTATACAGTCTTGGATTAAATTATCAGATTTTGTGGAAAATTATTATAATTTGTTTGAAATCTTCAATTAGTAAAACTGAACCTCGGAAGTTATAATAATTCAGAATTCTGGAATTTCTGATTCGAATATATTGCAACAATTCTTTAGAAATTATTCTATCATTGCAAACATTCGTAACACTTAACGTATAGTTTCAATGGCAGTGATTTATTGCAAATAACATTTTGAGCAATCGATTTTCAATTTTCTATCTAACATAAATCACGGCGCATTTCTAACTAAATGGTACCATTTAAGAATCAAATCGATATTTCGTGCGATAAAGTGAAGATTCATGTACTTGGCAACCTTGAAAAAAAATGTATGCAGCTTGAAATTCACAATCTACGCCAAATTTATATCAAAAATGGAAAATAACCGTGAGAAATTTTAAACGAGAATGTATATGCGAGCCAATGGCACAAATATAAGCATAACGCGTGTCACACCTGTGAAAACACTCTCTTCGAGCACGAGGAGGACGAAAAGCACAGAAGCTTTTAAGAATAAAGAGCAGCTTTTTTTCTCCTGACATAGGAGTATTATTGTGTTCCATTGAAGCGACGCCAGTCATTGTACGATCGATCAACGAAAATGGAACCACGCGAGACTCCAGGACAAATACATGCTTTCGTTGAGAAGCGAAACTTTTATACAACGTGCGCAGCTTTGCACTACAGATGGTACGGTGCTGGTTAAAAATTTGGAATTATTTACTTCTCTTGGCAATTTAATGTGAAACTCTCGAAAGATCTGCTGACTCGAGTGAAAATTTAAATATTCAGTACTCAAATGTTCATATTATTAATACCATCGATATTATAATTAATATTTATTATTATATCATAGAGACTGATGGTCTGTTTTGATAAGATTATCCCTAGTGATTTCAGAATTTCTAGGTAATTTTCATTTTGACAAGTTTGATGGTCGGATCAATTGAAGTATCCAATTTTTTTCGATGTTGATTTTAGAATTAGTTAATTTAAAATTAGAACTCCTCAGTTGCAATGTAAAAATTGTAGGAATCGTAACATAAACGATCTTGGTAATTTCTCTTCCATTAAACATACTGTTCTCAAAACTATATTTATAATTATATTACGTGAGAGAAATAATAAGGTTCTTATAGAATTGGTTAATTTTTCATAACACCGATTCTTTGACTACAAAAACGATAAGTCTTCATCTTCATTCGACAATGAATCAAGATGTACATTATAATATCGATTTTACCCTGTTGTGCGTCTAAAATTTATATTTCTATAAATATAATTTTGATAAACTTGGACAAAGATATTACATTATTCGCACCTTCGAATTTCTCTCTCTATAAACGTATGAAAATTCGCAAATATTTATTAAAAATCACTTGGGTCGTTTTTATCACGAATCCTTCAATTGATTCTTACAGAATTAAGTTC